TTCAATGTGAGAACCGTCGGAAAATTGTACGATGGAGAGGCATTGAAACAACTTGCAAGTAAAGGGATGACACGATCAATGGTACGCGAGTTAACATGCATGGGGAAGCAGTGTTACAGGCTATCTTTCTTTATTTTAGCTTGTGTGAACTTATTTGGAGCTCTTGTTTCATTGATATTGGTGTTCAGAACAAGGAAATATTACCAGACTGATATCTACAAGAGGTTTAGGGATGAAATGGAAAAGAATGAGAAAGAAATGGCTGCGCTTTCTACTGGGTATAATCAGGCTCGCAGCATATAGATCAAGAAATAGTTGGATTGAACAAGGAAAAAAAAAACAGGTGGTGGACTTTTGATCTCTCTTTTTTTATTTGATGAAAATTTCTTTTCAAGATTATTATGCAAATGTGAATCGAACTTTTTGAATTTCTTCATTATAGTTTTATTCCAACAATTCGTAGCCAGTTTTTCTTTAATTCATTAGATATTTCTAGCACTTTCTTCTCTCTCTCAAAGCCCCATCAGAATACAGTGACTTGAAGACCTATGTTGAGAGAGAGCACCATTGAGTGGTAAAGCCAATTTTTCCCAATTCTTTGCCATACTGCTACAAGTCCTAGGTTCTTTCCTATTGACGAGAGACATGATTCAATCGGCATGGTTTTGAACATGTTGGTTTTGTGGTTAAAAGTTGCTTCTCTAAAAAGTAATTTTTTCGTAAAAGAACTGAAGAAATCATGTTTGAAAAAACAATTCAAATAGATGACAGTAAATTTATCTTCCTTCTAAGCACGTTCAAATGCGAAATATCAGGTGAAACCTGTGATAGCACATGAATTACTTAAATTCTTTACACAAGTAAACCTAGAAGCTGCAATTATACAAGGAAAGAGGGAAAGGGAAGAGAACAAATATGTCCGATGTACAGTAAATGGGTTGAAGAACTAGTAAATGAAATAGAACTACATCATTCCCAACCCATCAGCTTCTTTTTAACACATTCTTTAATCTCATTTCTGGTGGCAGAAAAACCATCCCATTCATCTAGCAAGATCCTGTACACTTCCCACTCTCGATCATGAATCCAGCACCTACCAATTTCTACCTGCAAAATTTATCAAAAAAGAAGTTGCAAAATTGTTAATCCCGTGTAAAACACGAGAAAATTGCACCATTGGTGATTTGGTTCCAACCGGTTTTATGTTGGCCCCTAACCTTTAAAAAAGGCAAGTTAGTATAAACTTTTCATTATAGTTGTATAATAGTTTTCAATGACGAAAGCAACCAAATCTCTTTTAAATCATCATTTTGCTTTCAGATGTCCAACTTTATGAGCTAGATTTTACTTCCGAGCTTAGGTTGATGCCCACAAGTTTGAAGCGAGACGTGTTTTTACAAGGGTCACAAGGCAATTTAATGAAAAATTACACTGTTTATGTCATTGAAGACTGGTTGTACAACTATAATAGAAAGTTAAGGCCCAACCTGCTATTAGAGCAATAGGTTGGGGACCAAGTTGCAGCTTCTCCTAAAATTGTTGAAAGATCAAAGGAATCAAACAAATGTAGAGTTAGATCTGATTACCGAAAAGATGCGAATGTTTAAAATCTTGAGAGCAAGGGTAATGTCATAGAAGACGAGGGGGCGGCCCCTGCCGGACAACTCAACTGGATTAACAACGAGCAACTCGGGATCAGGTCCCCGGCTCACAACATCTACTCTTATAGGTTGTTGAAGTTCCATTCTCAGTCGAGAGCATAGGGCGTTCTTTTTGTGCATATCAATAATCTTTTTCCCATCAGCTTGCATTATAAACAAGTCCATCTCACAGTTCCCTTTTGAGTTTGCAAAAAACCGGCCATAAGAGATCTGGCGGAATTAATGAAAGTCAGGTCAGAATATCCTTGTAAATATGTTGAAGATTGTGCAATGTAAGAGCATGTAAAATCAACTTTCGGCAGATAACAAGATGCATTTTTGCAAAATTCATTTTCTTATTAACTTAAATCGAGCCTCAAAACCTGATGCTTTCTATGTTAGTACCCATAATGAACCAGAACCATTTTTTTGGCTTTGAAATTGTTTCAGGCAGCATAATCTTGAGAAGAGGTATAAATCATTAAACAAATATTTTTCATTGCTCAACCTCACTGACATCACTGGAAATATTTCAGTCAATGTCTATCCTAAAAAATTTCAGAATAAGTCATCATTCTTAGCCATCAATTCAGTTCAGTAAGAACGATTCAGAGACTAATAGGAGAACCAAAGAAAAAGCAAGCTGTGCAACATGATCTCCTATTTCTCAATGATATTCCAC